CACAACAAAGAATAAATAACAATAGTGCCGAGGTTGAGAAACTCTGCCCTAGAGCATGTGATCTAAGAGAAAGTGAGGAAGAAGCACAATTCCTTTTAAGACCTAGTTCTGGAAACCACACATCACCACTTCAGCCACATTCCATTCATTAGAAGTAAGCAGCTCTGTCAGCCACCCTCAGCAAGAGGGGAAATTAACGTCACATTCTGAAGCAAGGAGTATCAAAGCATTTGTAGACATATTTTAAGACCAGCAGAGTTTGTCCTCCAGCCACAAATTATTTACATTCCTCTTGTATGCAAAGTATACTTGTCTCCTTACAAGACCCTTCCTTTCAGTCAAGCTGGTATTGTTTATGCCAATAGAATTCTTAAAAAAAAAACTTGCAGGTCTCCTTGAATCTTTCTGGGTCCATACCATTATTCAAAAGCCAAACTCACTAATCTCTTCAAGATAAGCCCTTCTCTACCTTGAGAATCTGCTGAAGAACAATATCCTCCAGTTTCCTAGGAGATCTCTTATTTAATTAAGAGAATTTGTGAGGCACACTTTGAAAATTTTAGTAGGACATTTGTCTGACTGAATGCTTTCTGAGGCATTACTTTTGATCTTTCTGAGGCCTTAATAAAAAATTAAATGATCATATCCTTGGATTCATCTTTAGATCAGGTTTTCCTGGAAGTGTCCTTTTATGTGTCCTTTTGGATTCGATCTTGGCTCCAAATCATTTCTTAATTTAAACATTGTTTGTCATCTGAGGAGCCAAGAATTTTCAAAAACATCAAGTCCTGGTTCTTTTTTGTTAATCTGTCCTTTAAAAAACTTATCTATCTCCTCTTGCATTTCACTATAAGAAGCAAGAAGAAACCAGACCATACCTTTGGCACTCTGTATGATAATTTCCTTAGTTACATCACGCAGTTCAATAGGTACATTTTCTACTTTCTGTGGTACTTCAGGTGACAGTGTGGCTAAACTTATTGTTATTACATAACAAGGAGACCGTTTCTCCCAATTTCCAATAGCTTTTACCTCATTTTCCCACAAGCCTTCACTCATTGCCTCCTCAAAGTCCACGAGGCTTCTGCTAACATTTTCTTCAAAACTCATCAAGCTTTTACTAACACTCTCCTCAAAGTTCTTCCAGCTCCAGCCCACTACCCAGTTCTCCTGCTCCCTTCCTCATTTTAGGTTCTTGTTGTAGAAGCATTCCATTTGCAAGCAGCCAAATCTATATAGCTATCTACTGTAACCTCTAAACTAACTTATGGTTTAAAACAACAAACATTAGAGTAGTTTTTGTGGGTCAGGAATTCAGAAGCAACTTAGCTGGGTGGTTCTGGCTCAGGATGTCTCATACAGTTGCAGTTGGATGTCAGCAGAGGTCGCAGTCTCATCCGAAGGCTTAACAGGGACTAGAGAGTCCACTTCCAAGATGGCTTTCTTAAAAGGCTGTTTGCAAAAGGCTACAGTTCTTCATCATCTGGGCTTCTCCACGGACAGCTGAGTGTCTTCACAACAGGGCAGCTGGTTTCTCTCAGAGCAAATAATTCAAGCGAAAACATGTGGGAAGCTACAATATCTTTTATGATTTAGTCTTGGAAATCATACCTCATCACTTCTCCCACATTCTTTTTCCTTAAAATCAAATCTAGGTTCATCCCACATTCAAGGGGAGAGGAATTAGACACTAAATATTTAAAACAGGAGTATCAAATAATTTGTGGTCATTTAAAAAAAATAAACAGACTCCCTCCTTTCCCAAATCAGAAATTCTTTAGGACTTTTAAAAGGAATCTCATGTCTTGCAGCTGTTGAACTGAGAGAGAAGGGGGAAAATTATCCTTTAATTTGCTGAGTTGAAATATCATTTTAATTCACAGCTTTGCCAGATCTCTAATGTGAAGATAGAGTGC